ATATTTTATGTATTGTCTTCCTTCCTCTTCTTCATTTTACATTTGCTCACAACCGGTTAGGTAGCCTGTGTTTTTTGTCTACACTGTTGTACTCTGATTATATAACGTCAAAAGGTTAGTTGTTTTATTATTTTATTTTCTTATCCAGGCGTTGGGCCGATAAAAAAAGGACGGTGTTTTTGTTGGTGCTAACACAGTTAGCTTAATTCAACTGTGAGAAATGTCCATTTTACTAAAACATGAAAATAATAACAATAAGTAAACAACTTCGTTACATAACGAGGGCGTTATTGACGCACTTGTATGTAAAAATTGACAGTTTTCCGAAACAAATTTCAAAAGCTAACTCGATAGCATCTGTCTTTGGCCTTGTCCGCCGCTAACGCTAGCTGCTTCTTTTTCTCTATTGATCGCAATTTGTTCGTAATTTATGTCCTCTAGGTGTGTGCAAATTTTAAAGTGCAAATGCGATATCTACAAAATGGAAAAAGAGTATTAGGATCACCCGACACTAAACTAAAGTCATCAAGTAAGACTGTTCGTTAGCATGTGTTAGCTCGTAGCTATCAAACATACGCTTATTCGACTGATTTTTGCGCCTCTTTAGTATAAAACAACAACAAAAACTTGGTAATCTTGTCTGTATATTACTGTTCATTCAAGTCTTTGGTGATTGTTTTCGGCTCTTTTTATACGATAGTAGTCACTAGCAAGCTCGCAAAAAAAAAAGTTTTGGTGAGAGATTAGATATTTATAAATTCCGCTACATTACATATACTGTAAACCCATTACTGTTTACTTAATGTGTTTAAACAAACTTATAAAGCTGACTTAAAGACTGCACAACTTATTGACATAAAAGACAAAAATAAGGGCTTGGACTGCTAAATTTGCAAAAATATTACATTCTGTTGTTTACTACTAATAGTATTTTTGTTATTTTATAAATGTTTTGTGTGTTATTTTTGGGTTGCTGTAAAAATTGACTGGAGGCCAGTGTTTTAAATCCAACCAGGCCTTTTTACAGAATAAAAAGCTTGTCTAGAAACAGAAACAACTTCAAAATCAACTGTGTAGGATGTTGCATCCCTCCTCAATTTGCAAAGTGCAACTAAATGAATGTATCACATTGTTAGGCCTGCAGTTTTACATCGGTTAAAGCATATTACTGTTTTTTAGTGAAATGCCACAACTAATGTTTTAGCATACTTTTATTTATTTTTACAGCAGTAGTAGCCAATAAGATTTATCATTATATTATGTCTAAAATTTCATCAGCATTTTAATTATGTGTGCATTATAAACAGATGTATTCATAAGACGGGTAATGTTTACAAAGTTTTAAAATAATGTCTGGATTAAAAAAATAAAATGCTGGATATTAAGATTTACTTTGAGCTGAAATGAGTATCTCGTAGGGGTGCACCGATAAATCGTCCCCGATTTCCTTAATTTTGGGAAATCGGAAATCAGCCGATACTTGCATGATAAACCGATTTTACTGTTTTTTTTTGTTTGTTTTAACCACCATTGTCTGAACTTCATTTATATTTCAGAGCACTACCTCATGTCCAGTTAAAACGGTGTTATAAGGTCACAATGCACGTTCAATTTTCCATAACATACCCTTGAACAATATCCTAGAAACAATACAAACTTGACAGTGTCGCTTATAAAACAAAATCGGTATCGGCCAAAATCGGAATCGGCAGGTCAGACTTTTTAGAAATCGGTGATCGGCCAGAAAACTGCAATCGGTGCACCCCTAGTATCTCAGTGGGCTGCAACTGTTGGAGACAATTTGTGGAACTGCATCCACTTTGGAGTCTCCAAAATCTCTTGCAACATTTACTGGAGTTCTTAGTTTCCCTACTTGTGTTGCAGAGGTTTGCTATCTTGCCATTCGAGTTTTTAACTTGTAAAAAAACAATTGTGTGACAAATTTTCTCTCGAAATATAGTCACAGGGTTGTGGCAGGTGTCTCAAATCCATTTCTATAATGTCACCAACCCATCTTCAAGAGACATATTTTGATGCCTGCAAGGTAGTGCTCCTCTGACAAAAAAACAAAAGCCATGCTGATAGTATTTTACTAAACATCTGATTATCTTCATTTCAGAAGTGTACTCCATTAGATCAAGTCATAAATGTGGGGTGGCTGCCAAGGTGGGTCCAAACCACATAGTTATGACTATGATGTGGGCAATGAAATAATGTCAAGAGTACGATTTTGCAAGCTGTTCAGTCACACAGAAATAAGCTGTCGTTTTCAAAAACTGGTTTTGCAAAATGCAGCTCCTCAGCACTCTAGTCACAATCACCCAGACTTACTGCAACAAAAACTATATTTACATTGCACTGTGTTCTGTGTATTTTCAAGCAATGTTGAGTCAAGTCGCCAACAGTTTCAGCTCTGAGATACTACCTTTTTGGAAGTACAAATTTTTATTATTTTTATTTACACAAAAGTTGTAATGATACAACTAACTAAACACTTTCCACTGTAGCCTTCTCATCTGATTCATATCATGCTGTACATACTATGTTTTTGGCTATTACATTGCCATAATCTGTTGGAAAATTATTATTATTAATAATATTGCAAGTGATGGATTAATTCAGCCTAATTAAGCATGCTTTTCTTAAAATCACAATTCAGTCTAATCAACTTACTTGGTCATTTATCACTCTTCTGTTTTGCAAATTTAATCATTTGGGAAAGGGAGAGAATTTTCATTTTTTTCAACTTCTGACTTTTTAATCACTGCAGCTATAATATTTTTTTTTGTTACTTCTGCTTATCATTCTTGTGCAGGTATTTCATTTAACTTCCTTCAGTAAGTTATCAGCCTGTGTCTTGCAACAAGGAAGACATGACAGTGTAATAACTGATGACATCCCTGCCTTGTGAAGTAGTTCCTTTTTCTCCTATGTGTACACTGCAGTAATAAAGGATGCTTGCCATTCACGCTTGCAGGTTTTCTATGGCTTGCTTGTATGGCCTGTGTTGTTTACTCATGGGGCACCTTAAACATTTCAGGCCTCAGTAGCTAATTAAGCTCTGTGACTTGGAATAAATGGTCTGAACAAAACAAAATCACTAATGTACCATATCTGATTCTTGTCAAATCTTTTCCAGCATTGCTCGCCAATCTTCCACAAAGTTAGGTTAGATATTACTGTTTGTTTCCTAGAGGCATTATTTTTTTCTGTCAGCTATAACAAAATTATCTGTAGACCATAGTATATCTAAATGCATCCAATAATATGCTTTCCAGTGATGCAAATTGTTCAAGATGAGGCATTATAGCAGTCATTGATCTGTGTAAGTGCCTTTCCACAGGGAGGAGTAGCTATTGCCTGCATTACCTGCTGTCTTTTGCATCAGAAGCTTCTTAAATTGGATGTAAGAGAGTTTGGAGAGGGGTTCGTTCAGATAAGACTACATGCAGTTGTTTAAAAAAACTGAAAAGAGATAGTTGAGATTGCAGTTGATTTTGTTTTTGCCTGGTATTCTTTCTGTAATAATTAATGGTGTAGTTTGATAACTTTTGCATTTTATGTTCACAGATGTGGAAAACCATTTCCCCTCTTATCCTGAACTTATTAGTGGAGGTTAGATGTTTTTTCTGAAATTTGGACGTTTTTTTTTTTCCTCTGTGAACCTTTAAAATATTGTTGAAAGCAGACTGAAACACATCTCTTCAGTGCATGACAGCATGAGATTATACTGTCTACATATATTTTTTCTAAATGGGGTTAATTTGTTCAAACAATACATATTTTCCTCTGTTTCAGTTCTTCCGTAAAATATATTCGCTCTTATTGATTGCTTTGACTTTGCTTTGCATCAGTAAGCTCAAGATCTTATTTCAGCAGTAGTATGAAGCAGCCCTAGTTGGCATAATTTGATATTCAAGTAAAAGTAAAAGGTCTAAATTTGCGTTTTTCATAAATAAATAAAAAAATTGACCTTTCATTCACCTAAAAGTTACATGGGAATAAACTGAGTTTTTCAAGCTTCTCCAGTATTTTACTTGAATTGATTACCTCATGATAAAATGTGAAGGCGCACATTTGTCTTGATTCATTGTTTATCTTGGTTCTGGAGTCCCAGATTAAAAATGTTTTATTGCTTTTGTCCCTTGTTCTCTAAAAATTACATAGCCAGCAGTGCCTAATTTTGTCATATATTAAGATTTTATCTCTGATAAAAGCTGATTCATTTCCAAAATGTTCGGTGTGGATAATCCATCATCTTTACCCTTTTCCTCTTTTTCGGGTCATGGGGGTCACTGGTGCCCATATTCAGTAGTCACTGTGCAAGAGGCGGGGGACACCCTGTACAGGTCTCAGTCCATCAAAGGGACATAAAGACAAACGAGACAAACAACCATTCACTCTCACTCACACCGTGGGACAATTTAGAGTTACCAATCAGCCTAACATGCATGTTTTTGTTCTGTGGGAGAAAACTGGAGTACCTGGAGAAAACCCATGCATGAGAGAACATGCAAACTCCACCCAGAAAGGCCCCCGGCCGGGATTTGAACCGGCTACCTTCTTGTTGAGAGGCAACAGCTCTACCAACTGAGCCATCGTGCCGTCCTGTGTGGATATTGATTTCGATTTATCTTCTTTAAAAAGAATGCCAAACTGTTGTAATGTCACAAACTGAACAGAGGATACCAGATTAAACTTGTGTACAAAACCAATTTACAAAATGTGCCATCTCATGAATGTAGTGTTTGTTGGTACACAAAATTCTCTAGAAAGGTGAAAATGTCCTTTTAATCTGTAAGTCAGTTTATGCATGACTTTACAGAATATTCCGTTATAATCTGTGAGCTAATTTCAGTGTATTTTTTTTTTGCTTCTCAGATAACCAGTTGCCATCATACCAACCCATAACCTGTTTGGCTGCTTCATCAACTTTGAGTTGCCTTCCACTGTGGCCCTGCAACATGGAGAGTTTTCACTGTGTGAATGAAGGCTGACCAGAAGGAATGAGGCACTCAAGAAGATGTTCCCAAAAGGCCTTCTGGATGCAGTAGCTGCGTTTGGGAGTGCTTTTTCGTGACAAGTGTTGTATGCGTGCCTGTGGGAATATCCAAGCAAAACCTGCCTTCTTCATCAGGCAGGGACATGCTACTCTGAGACTGGATTCAAGAAACCTATTAAAAAGGAGCCCCCTCTCATAAACAATAAATACTAAGAAGAAAAGGGAAAATCTGAATGTTTGACATCCAGGACATTTTAGCTGCACTGCTGGCTCATTCAAGTGTCCTCTGCACGATTCAGCAGCAACACTTTTCCTCTGTCCTGTAAGATTCTTCTCCCTCCCCCTCCCTAAAGCGTGCCCTCCATTGTTGTTATCGGAGTTTCTATGGTTTGCATGGCTGGAGAATAACCGTGGAGAAGCCAGGGTATCACAAGCTTATGGATTTTGACAAGAGAGGGGGCAAGGGAGAGACAGAGGAAGGGAAAAAGATGTCCAAGACAGCAAGCAGCAGGACTGGACATGGGGGCAGGAGTTCTGGGACCAATTCTGGAGTTCTTATGGTTGGCCCAAATTTCCGAGTTGGTAAAAAAATCGGCTGCGGTAACTTTGGAGAGCTGCGGCTGGGGAAAAATCTCTATACTAACGAATACGTGGCCATCAAATTGGTAAGTACTCCCCTCCAGAAGCTGCACTGTTAATGTGCTGAAGTTAACTCTGTAACTTGTTTGCACATTTCTTTACCTGTACATCTTCATTTATGTTATCTGTGCTTTTCTATTTATCATAAACATCTTATCTATCATCTATCATCTATCTATCTATCGTCTATCCATCCAAATTAATTCTCTGAGTGCAACTACCGGTAACCGTTTGACCTTAGCAGTAGAGAAACAGGAAGTGAACAGGATCTGTCCCCCACCCCCACTTTTCCCACAGCTTACACTCATGATGGTGCACAACCATGCTCGGCTTTTGTTTCAGTGCTTTTTGTTCAGACACAGAGGTTAGATTGTCTACCTTTCATCTTATTGTAATTATAATAATCTTCAGGGAGAACATTTAAACGAGGGTAAAATGAGATTAAACACATTCAAAAAAAATTCTTGGGTGGTCTTGTTTTAAATGAGACTGATTAAGCTTTTACCTTCTGTGCTGTAGAATCTGAATTAAACTTTGAAAAGTTTCATAAATAAGACATATCATAGAAACAAGTATACCGGTAACCTTTTTTTTAAAGGCAGACAATCTTACTAACTTCTCATTCCAAGTTTTCTTCAGTCATTGGAGATGAAGCCAGTCATTTTTCATTTCACACAAAACTTTTTTTTTAAAGAACTTTCTTAAGACTGTAACGTTTATAATTTTAGGTCTTTTTGTTTTGAGTCAGCTAAGGTTTTTTTTAGCGCCAACACTGGTGAAACCATACGAAATGTCAAAGCTTGTTTGTTTTCTTATTGCACAACTTCCTCCACATCCACTTCTCAACATATTTACAAGTGTTGCAAATTGTAGAGCTCCCACTGAGTCATATATAGTTTTTCTTGATAATATCTTAATGTAAGAAAGGCCTGAATTCCTGGTAATTCTATTATTCCTCCTCCTGGTGTCCACTTCATCACCGTCACAACTGCAATGATTTTTATGTACCATTATCCTTCCCAGTTCTTCCTCCTACAGAGGCCCTGATGTCTGAGTCGACATTCAGTAACAGCTTTGCCCACCACAAAGATGGCAAAGGTTGGCAAGCAACTGTAATTGCAGGACTACTTTTCTGCAATCTTTAATCGCGCTTGCTGCCTCACCCTCTTTTCCTGAGAACGTCCCATCTGTTGGGTATTTTTACCACAATAGTGTCCAGCTATATCTGGAACTGGCAGCAGTGCCATCACACTGCTGGAAGGACCTTTTAGTCCCACTAACATTTATCTGAATGATTGAGACTGAAAGGGGAAGTTCTCTAAAAGTGTTAGGCTCAACAGCCCCAATAATAGTATAGCTGAATTTGTTAAGATTGATGAAAATTTATTTTAGATCTGATTAACTTTTGGACTCAAATGTAATTCAAGGCCACTTGTAATCAGCTTTAACAAACACAAAAACGGCCATAACTCAGGCAATTTTACAGATATTGAGTCATTCACAGCACAAACTCTGAGCGTGACATTTTGTTAACATTATTTTTAAGGTTTGACAAAATACAGAAGTCAACTGTCATTTCTTATGATTTTAATTAGGGCTGTCACAATAACAAATTTTGCTGGGCGATAGTCTCAGAAATTATTGTAATAAACAATAATATTGTTTGAAATTTAACAATAATTAGTAATTATTGTAAAATTTAAGAAGAAATGTTAATTTGTTTTGAGTGTAGTACCTTTTTTGATCACCGGATGGTAGTATAAGTCTATTTGAACTAAAGGATGGATAATGAGGGCGTGAGCAGCATGTCTCTTAAAGAAAAATGGGAGGGAAGCCCCTTGACGTGACATGGGCTGTCTATCTTCGGTTCTCAAAATAGCGGACGTTCGGTGTGGTTCGAGCTGTTTAGCATAACATTTGTCACACAAAGCTTTTAATTAAAAAAAAATCAGTAAACAAGTTTTCAGCTTCTTTTTGCAGATAAACAACTTTTTACACGAAGGCACGAGTTTCAACCGTGAATTTTGGAGCTTCGACAAGACAGAGGTTTTCCCCCCGAAGTCGGCCTGTTAGCTTAGCCCGTAGCTTAGCTTCTCAGTTTAGCTGCTTTTAATGATCCAAAAATGCGATTTTGGACAGTTAAAATGGATTTTAAAGAGAAAGAGAGAGACACGAAGAAACGATAAAGCCGATAAATGAAAATGAGGTTGATAATTTTAATTTATCATGTGATTAATTGATTTATTGTTTATTGCAACAGGCCTAATTTTAATTTGAAACTCCAATATGAAAGGTGGCAAGTGATATGCATTCCTTTAATTATACTAGACCTTCAGTTTGATGTTTTCAACATGAATGAAGCCGTTTTTGTCCTGCTCAGATTGACATTAAGAGGGTTTCCCCTTTTTTCATTTTTCAAGTGATCTATCCCAGTGTTTCTGAACTTACTTTTTTTTTTTAATAATCCAATGAACATTGTTTCGTTTTTAATTAAAATTTAAGCTGTTGTTGTGGTGAGTGAAACTTGGAAGATGAAGTCAATTATTACTTTGTGTCTGGCTGAATAAAAGTTGATGATCTACCAGCAGACCTGTGAGCTGACTGTTTATAGCTCTATGTTTGGTTTAATCTCATTTGTTCTCCTTTTGTTAGACAAATTGTGAATGCCAGCTTTCTAACAACAGTCGGTGAGGATTACTCAGTTTTTAGTTGCAGAGTTTTTTGTGTAGTTGCGTATATGGGTCACACCTTCCTGCAGCTGGGACAAAGGTGAAAGCCACCGTGGCCACGTGACACCAAAGACAGCTGTGTCGTTTGCCAGTGCTCAAGCTTGCGTGCCTGAGATTTAGAGCGGCATAAAGCAAGAGAGAAGAGAGAAACTGAGTGCTGAAAGGTTGTCTTTGTTGGCAGGCCTTGTCGACACACAGTGGTTCAGTCGTTGGTCCAGCTGGGAGCTTTCTCACACTGACGAGCCTCTGTGATCGAGGCACGACTGCGTAGCCTCTGCTACAAGTACACTGTAGGTTTTAGAGAAGGTCTGTGATCTCAGCTTTTCAGAGTAACAACACTGTTAAATATCTGGTTTTGAGAATTCTTGTAGCCATTTTTAACAGTGAACGTCTTAATGTGACGTCACTAAGACAAATAAAATGGTTTTGTTTTGCATTAGACATTTATTAAATTGACGTCATCATATCCCCAAATACCTTCCGTTTATCTTATAAACCTGATTTATCTTTTATCTTTATTTCTACCATTTTACAAACAGCTCCAAGTTTCAAACACCACAGCTTTGATTCTCATGTAGTTTGCCATATACTGTGAGACTTGGCACCTTCCATTCTGATATCATCCGTTCTGAGTGATAATTAGCTGAAGACTCCTCTTTGTGGTGATGACGACCTGCGACTATGACAGCAGGCTGCAATATCTGCTGAAGCTTGTAATAAGTGAAGGCTAAAGCGTTGACACTTATTGTACTGCACAGTGTGTTTCTGTTCCTCTGTCAGAGGCTGATTATTGGAGTGAGCGTGTGGGAAGATGAACACAGTAAACAATGAGACCTACTGTGCACTGTGTGCCAGCCATGCATGTACATACAGAGCAGTGTGTTATCCTGTTAAGAGTACATATTCAGAAATAAATATAGTTCAAAATTAAAATGGTGGTTTGCCACAAAAATGAAGAAAACTTTGACCTTGGTTGCTCTGTCTGAAACAAGAAATTCATACTTCATCAGCTAATTATACTAATTATACTTCATTCCAGCAGTTGGCAAAAAGAAAACTGTGTTGTCTAATTGGTACGTGTACCTTAGAAAACATGTTTATTTGGATAACATCTTGGTAAATTGTGCACTTAAAGAACTGGCCTGACATTATTGTTGAAGGTAGGAAAAAGTGAAATTTTATATAGAAAATGTACGTTGCTAATGCTAAGTCCTTTGTTTGGGACACAACTTAAATCGTTAAAATCGTTAGACAGATGGTGTGAATTTTAAAATATCTATGGTAATTATTATTGTATGCACTGTGAGGTGATCTATCTCAGTAGTTTTATCACAGATAAAACTATATGAGCTTAGCAGCTCATAATGACATATTGGTAACAAATAAAATAAACGTATAATTTTTGCTCACAATATGTTGTGAAGAATGGCAAATATATATGTGCATTATTTTAACTGACATATTATTTATGACCAAATATAGTAAATAAAACCACTCCAATCCTTTTTTCCCCACAGTTTCCAGTAAAACAAAAAACTAATTTAAATTGTCCTGTGTATAAGGGTTATTCTCATTTGCAGCTTTTTTTTTTTTTTCAGCGACTGAGTCATTTATGCAGAGGCATATTAGATGGTTTATGTGAGCAAAGCCACTCATAATGCTGGTCAGTCGTGGTGCTCTGATGGAAATCTGTGGAGTTGTATCCAACCTTCCTGTCTGCCTCCCACTGAAGCATGATAAGCAGCTCTTGTTGCAGTCTAGCTCAGCAGCTTACACAAGCTTGCCATGAGGCAGTTGTCGGAAAACCGAAGGCACAAAAGCCTTATCAGCATGTTTGGCTGGAATTAAGGTGACATTTTGACGATTTAAGTTCTTTCCTACCCAGCTTGGGCTTTCTTGGAGCGCATGCTGGACAGACTGAATTAATAAATCCCAAGATGTCAACAGCATGTAAAAGCCTAGCTTCAGTCAACTAGCTAATCCTCTAATTAATCAGTAGCTTGCAGCAATTCTGTTCTTTCACACAGACACACGTTTGTTTTTTGGAAGAGTTTTATTAATAAAACCTACACAAGAGTCTATGGTCCAGTTAACATAATGCTGTTTAAACAAATCAAACTGTTTTGTTGCTTTTTGGTCATTTGTTTATTATACAAAGGCTGCGATTGTATTCCAGTCTCAGAAGTGGAGGTTTTTCCAAAATTTCTGCCATCGTTTTATGGGGGAAAGAATTGGACACATTTTCCTAAATTTTTTGATTTTTAATTTAAAATTACGCTTATCAACAACCTCTTCCC